GTGAGGTGTTGTGACACTGAGTACTGCAACATCTAAGTCCCTCTGTAGTTGTGTAAGAAAGTGGGTTGTGGCAACAGAGACCAAAGATCAACCTTCCTCTTGCAAGATGGAGGTCAGCAATGCAGGTAGACCAGGGCAAGTAGATTGCTACAAACAGCAAACTCAGGGTATTGTGTTCTACTGTGTTTGAATATCAGAGAGTTTAATTGTTAGATACAAGCTCTTTGTGTCTTAATAAGAACAACAACACAGCCCTTAGAGCTAAGATCAAGGGTACGCGTAGGATAAGATTTAGAATTAGGGTTAACTTTAGAGTGATGTTTCAGGTTTTGGTTTCAAATTGAGTGTTGGGTTTCAGAGGTTCATGTTAAGAATAGGTGGAGATTATCAAAGGAGACAAAGAGTTGCTAGGCATCCAGTCCTTAATTAACTTCAACAGGATTCAAGCACCTATTTCCATTCTAAACGCCCCCAGTCTAAGTTGTTAATTAGCTGATTTTGGACTAAGGGCTACATATTTCATATTTAAGGTATTTACGTCACCACCATTACCATAGTACAGGGATTGACAACCTTTGGCACGCGGCCCATCAGTGAAATGCGCTGTCGGGCCGGGACGGTTTGTTTTTCTGCAGCGTCCCCAGATTTGGCCAATTGCAGCTCCCACTGGCCACGGTTCGCCATTCCTGGCCAATGGGGGCTGTGGGATGCTGCGTGAGCTGAGGGATGTGCTGGCCGCTGCTCAGGCTGTAGGGGAGAAGATGCTCCCATCCCCATGGGCACTACCCGGCCCCTCATTGGCAGCCTCAGCACAGAGAGCGAGGTCTGGAGGGGCCTTGGAGACTGACTTGCCACCTTTCCATTCAATGAGTCCCCCCAGGCCAGAGGCCCATGGGTGTGGGGCTGTGAGTGGAGGGGGAAGCTCTGGGGGAAGCCCCAGCTCTGGGCTCCCACAGGGGACTCAGGGCCAGGGAGGGCAGATTCAGCACCACCCAGTGGGACATTAAAAGCAGGTTCTGAAGAGACCCCAGAAGAAATGTAGTGGGTGAAAAAACTCCCCCCTCCCTTCCCCACATCCGGCCAAGCTTCCTCATTTCTCTTCAATGCCTTGTCGCTACTGAGAGGCAGGGGTGATGGTTGAATGATGGGTTCTCCCCCCTCTTCCACCACTGGCCCCTGGATGGAGAGTGTGGGGTGAATACCCTGATGGGAATGGAGTATCCTGGAATTGAAACAATCCTCCCGCCTTTTTGCACCATAAAGGGGCAGGAAGGAGCAAGGGGCAGTTTGGACACACACACACACACATCCCAGCCCCAGTTCAATGTGGGGACATGGAAGGTTGTGTGGAGTGAAGAATTTGCAGACAGTCCCTGACTCCCGAGGGGGCGGGGGAAGGCGAATTGTGTAGACAGTCCCTGGTTTATAGTAGCTGGGGATGGGGAGTTTGCAGACAGTCCCTGACTCCCGAGGGGGCGGGGGAAGGCGAATTGTGTAGACAGTCCCTGGTTTATAGTAGCTGGGGATGGGGAGTTTGCAGACAGTCCCTGACTCCCGAGGGGGCGGGGGAAGGCG